TTTTATCGCATTTTTTACTTGCGTAAAAGTCTTTATAATAATTTTCAAAAGCTTTTAGAATTTCGTCCTTTTCTGATTTCAAGTTGTTGTTCTTATCCTTAATTTTTGTTATTATTTGCTTTGCCGGTTTTAGTTTTTCTAGTTGAAAAAACGAGCGATTGCATTTTTCGCCTTCAATTCGCCATTTGATTTTTGCTCTTATTGCTGCGCCATATGCCCTGTTTGTTTCGAAAATTTAGCTTGTTTTCAATGTCAGCGCAGAGAATTTGCATACGCAGGTTTAGGTGTATTTTTTTTTGCTGCGTTTTTAAATTTTTTCTCAGTTTATATTCATCAATCCTGCTTTTTTTTGCTTGTTGTTTGCAATATTTTTGTGCGTGTTCTCTTATTTCCTCTTTAAGTTTTTCCCACGTTTCTTTTTTTGATTCTATGCTTTGGGTTGTTTTGTTTTTGATAATAATTTCTATTTGGTTTAAGTAGTTTTGATTTTTTAAGTATTTATTATTAAAAATCCACCAAACTTTTACCTAATACAGCTTTATCAAGGCTAATTGAGGCAACGCGCGCGTTGTAATGGTCGGAATGCGCCATTGGTTCGTGTTTTATTTCCACGTATTGCCTTATTTTTTTACTTACGTCTATCAAGTCGTGAATAAGACACTGTTTGTGGCTTTGTATGTAAATTCTTGTTTGTTTGGATTAAATTGTCTCCACGTGTCTTCTACTTCTAGTTTATTTATAAGTTTTTTTAAATTTTTCCGTCGACTGACATTTTTTTCTATAGATTTGTGGTTATTTATCGATTTCATTTAGAACCATATTGAAATCTCCCGCCATAACTATTAAAACGTTTTCTAAGTTTATGTTTTATTTTGCTTTCAATTAATTCAAATAATATTTTTCTGTCTTTCGCGAAATTAGGTCCCGAGGGAGCGTAAACATTTAACAAAAGAATTTTTTGTTGTTATATTTTGTTATAGCGTAATTAAAAGTTCCTTTTTCGTCTTCAAAAATTTCGTAAGCTTTTAGCACGTGTTTGCTTATAATTGTTGTTCCACCTGTGCGAGTCTTACCCGCAGAGGAGAATACGCTGCCTTTCCATTTTTTTATTAAGGCTTTTTTACCTTTACGTAGGAGTCCCGTAATTCAGAAAAAGCACTTTTTTTTTGGAACCCATACTTTTTAAGGTGGTTGGCATTGGTTATGGAATGTTAGTTATTACAGCTATAAGTTCGAATACGATCTAAACAATTTTAATATTTATATATTAATCGTCTTTCTTTTGCTTGTGGTTTTATATTTTTATTATTATTATTAATATTTTGTTAATCACCCTCTATAAAATAAATTTACAAGGTAAAAACACAAATTGAGAAAAAGAGATAAAAAAAGTATTATTTAGGAATGTTTTCTTAAAGTGTCTTTCTAAAAATTGTTCGCTATTCTTTTACATTCCAACATTGAACCACGTGTGCCAAAATATGAAGAGTAGGTTCAGGAATTACATCCTCTAAGACTTTAAGTTTTACTTTTTTTTTAACCGGCATCAAGGTTTTCATATTCAATTTATGATTATCACATAATTCTTTTATATCATTTAAAAAAGAAAATTTAGCTGAACAGTACCAAATGCATTTGGTAGATTTTACTTCAGGTTTTATGTTTTAATTATGCACTAGCAACGTTGAGTTAAATTTTTAAATAAAATTTGTATCACAGTTAGTCCATATACATTAAATCAAGGTTGGGTTATATACATTGGATTAACCTTGGGTTCAGATTGTAAAAACAATCAAATTTTCGAAAATTTTTTTACATAAGAAAATGTGGAACTAATGTAACTGGATGCAGCATTTTTTGATATTTACAGGGTTACTCATTTTTATATGCGCGTCTATTCATTTTTATATGCGTGTTTATTCATTCTTATGTGCGTTTTAAAAAAGCACAGTTTTTTCAAAACAAATTGTTCTTGTTTTCTGATAAATGATGTTAAAAATACTTTAAGACGAAGACTTTTTACATTTGATGATAGTTTATTTAGGGTATAAACTACCCTTATTTTCTTACTTTTTAGTATTAGGTCTTTGTTTAATTTTATTATCACATTTATTGATTGATTAAATTATCATCTAATCATTCAGTTATCTAGATTTAAATTTAATTACCTATAACTATTCTTAATACACAAATATTTACCCTATGGATACAAGAAATAATAACAGTGCCAATCAAAAAAATAGAAAAAATGTTATAAAAGAACACATTAAAATGCTGAAAAAAATTAAATGCTGATAAAAAAGAATTTAGTTGAAAGAATTAAATCTACAATAAGCATTTCCATCTCTCTTAATTTATCTAAGCGCAAAGTTCAAAATCTTGTCGTTAAGTTAAACAGAAGAGAACTCGACGTCATGACTTCATTCAAGTGGTTTTCTGGTAAAAAACGAGATAAAGACCTTTAAACGCTCAAATATAAAAAGTATTATTAAACTATGCGTACAAGAAAACAATCATTATACCAAGAAACGATAAAAGAAAATCTTTCTTCAGCAGCCTTCAACATGTCTCAACCTACTATTTAAAGAAAGTTCAAACAGTCGGATTTATCAAGAAAACGTATTGTGAATGTGCCAGAAGAACAATACTTGACACGAGTTATTGATGCACGCTATGCATTTGCAAGCAAAATTAACGGAATTTCAAATGAAAATCTTATTTATTTCGATAAAACTGGATTTTATGTGCACACCAACATCACATATGGTTAATCGATAAGAGGTCTGCCAGCATATTTACAGTTGTCTGCAAATCGTGGCAAGAATGTTAGTTTGATTTGTGCTGCTTTAACAATCGAAGTGCTGGTTTATGAAATAAAAAACTGGAATGCAGATTCATTTTGTACTTTCATTACTACAATGTTGGCACCAGCGATTAGAAATGCAGATGTGGAAGCGCCGGTGCTTGAAGTCTTCCTGTTAGGCAAACACTAGCCTCTCATGGCATAGGTGTTAAATATCTAACAGTACACATGCCATAGCTTAATCTAATAAAAAAATTTTCTTCTTTTTTAAAGCATACTTACAAACAGGAAGAAAATACGGATGGGGTAATCAGGAAACTTAAAATTATTATAGATACTACAGAGTTTAATTTAATTCCATTTTACAACCGTCTGCTTAGTTACGTAAGCCCAGAGCTGGCTCGGCAAACGTTTTTTAAATAAATAGCAGCGGCAACAACCTAATCTAATTTTGAATATATTAACATAAAAAGATAAAACTCTATTTATTGTTTATATAAAATTACATTAGAGATTTTACGCCGCGATTTATTCATCTTTATATCCGTATTTATTCGCATATTTATTCATTCTTATATGCGCGTTTATTCATTTTTGTATGCCCATTTTTATGCAACTGGCATGCCAGTTGGCGCGCGTTTTACATTTACAGTCATTGTAAGTGGAAACCATGTAAAAAACAACAATAAAATTTTAGTTTGAAACTATTTTCGAGTGAATAAATTCAGGTTTTTGCATTTTTTATAAAATCCTGACCCGATTCTAATGAATGCTTGAATATGGAATTCGTTTTTAATTGTGATAAGTTATAATAAATTTTGCTATAATATATTAAAAATAATTATTTGATATAATAAACATTAAATTCTTTATCTATCGCAAATTATTAGAAGAAAATGAGTATAAACGGTTTAAATAAATGTAAATAATTCGGGTCTTGATTTTTCAAAAAAACGCGAAACCTGGATTTGCTCACTGGAATGTCAACCAAAATTTTAATAGAGCAATCAATATCAAAAGTTTTTGCGAGTAGTTTCTGACATTACTAAATATTATTTTTTATATAGATTTTTAGTTTTAATTAAAAATTAAAACTAAAAATCTATATGTAAAATATTTTTTAAAACTAAAAATCTATATGTAAAATAATTTTTATAATAATATAATATAATAATTGCTGTACAAACTATTTAAGTTTGGTGAGTCAAAACTACGTAGTGTATTGACTGTAACAGCCGTTAAATGTAAAATTTTAAAAATAGAATAAAAAGTTCCTAAATAAAGTTTGGTATCAAAAGTTCAAAATTTTATCTATTCTATTTTTGAACGTGTTTTTATTTGCAGAATCGATTGCATCTTGTGACAATAAATTCCAATCGTCGACCACTCTATTTGTTAAATATTAATACCTGGATGATTTTTTAGAATATTGTCGATGAAGTCGTTTATTATGACGATATCTGGACATGTTGTTGTAAAATTCTAAAGGCTGTTCAAACCTTATATATTCAGTTGAATTTAATATTTTAAACATTTCTATTAAATCGCCCCTACTTCTCCTTTCTTATAAGGATGGTAAACCTAATATTTTTTTCCTTTTTTCATAGCAGATGCCTTTCAGCGATTTAATCCTAGTCGATCTACGCTGTACCTTTTCGAGTTTCTTAATGTCTTTAATACAATATGGGTCATACAGATTCTGCATATTCAAGCTGTGGCCTAATAGTTGACTTGTATAATAGCTTCAAAATGGTAACAACAAGATATTTAAACCCATGTTTTAAAAAACCCAGTGCTCTATTTGCCTTATTTGCTACACTGATAATATGATTTTCCCATTTGAGGTCATTTGATAATATTACACCTAAATCTCTTTCAACTTCTGTTTTTTGAAAAATATGATCTCCTAATTTGTAACTAAACTGAGGATTCAAATTACCAATGTGCATTGTTTTACACTTTTCTCCATTGAATTCAATTGACCACTTATTTAACCAGTCTTATTGAAATCTTCTGTAAGAGCACTTATTGAAATCTTCTTGAAGAGTACTGCTGTTATTTACATTATTAATTACTGACATTATTTTTGTATCGTCTGCAAGTAATTTAGTATGTCAACTTTTAAGTCATTTATAAATATTGTAAACAGAAGTGGACCGAGGACTGAACCCTGGGGAACTCTACGTGTGACTTCCTGTTAATCTGAAACAAACTCACACAGAACAACTCGTTGTTTTCCATTTCCATTTTTACCATTAACTAATCCGTGCTGTTCGCTTGCTATTAACTTATTTAAAGCTAAATGGTTCATCATAACATTGTGAATAATTTTCTCAATAACCTTGCATACTATTAATGTTATTGATATCGGTCGATAGTTTGAAGGATCTAGCTTATCTCCTTTCTTGAATAGTGGAGTTATGTTTGCAGTTAACCATTTGTTTGGTGTAACACCACTATAAAATGACATTTTAAAGATTAGTGATAAGGGATGAGAAAGTGGTTTTGAACATTCTTTGAGAACACGAGGATGAACTTTATCAACACCAATTGTTTTATTAACATTAAGGTTTACTAACTGATATTCAACATCATTGTCATTAAAACTTGGATCGATACAATAAAAATTACATTTTGAAGGAAAAGTTACATGGTCTAATACCTTATCTTTTAAAAATACTGAAACAAAATACTCGTTTAAACAATTTGGAATATCTACTTCTTTTGTTACGATTGTACCATCAAAAGTTTTGAGTGCTTTGATTAAATCTTTTATAACTATTTTACTATTTAAATAAGCATAGACACTTTTTTTTTTATTCATAGTGGAGTGAAGCATAGACACTTTTTTTTTCTTTGAGTTTTTAGATTTAATTCAAAAGCTCTTATATATCTTTTTTAACTCTTTTTTTTTTACATTTTTGTTCAATATTTTATAGTTGTTTTACCATGTTTACCTTGTATTATAATTTATAATTGGAATAAATTTACTGCATCCAGTATGTTATATATTTTTAGCCATTTTTTGCTTGACTAGTATTTAAATCTTTAAACTCATTTTTCCAACTTGAAAAATATTTTGAAAGTTTTTTATAATTTTCTTTAATATATAATAATTTTGTTTTTATCTTTGGTTTTTGATCAATATTGTTGTTTTTATAATAATATTTGAAATTCAATATATGGTGTCCATGTTCAATTCCACCTAGGAGAGGTAAGTGATTCAATGAAAAAACTCGATTTCTATTTTTTGTTAGGACCAAGTCTAATAAATTGACGCGCATAAACTTTTAAAACTTAGAATTATTTAAAATACCAACATTAAACAATCTCTGAAAATACTTTAAAATTATGAAATATAAGTAATCTAATTGGTAAATAAAATAAAAGGAAAATTCTTCTTAGAAAATGCAACAATGAAAGTTATTTAAATTAGCGGGTAGTTGAAGATTCATTTAATTTTGTTACAGGTAGGTGCAGCCTGCCAATACTTAAAAAACAAAAAATTTAAAATTATTACTGTCCTATCAGTTTATCATACATGTTCTATTTTCATTCAATTTGTAAATTCTATTTCATAAATCCACACACACTATAATTTGCATAGCTTGTTAAACAGGCTAGCTTTAGATATGTTGTGGATTAAATAGCTAACCTTAACTTAATCTAAAACCAATAGAATAATAAACGGAAAAAAACACATACTGAAACTTTTTAGTCCCTGTGTTTTTAGTCCCTATTTCAACTTATTGCACATCCTAACATCGGGTGCAATCCTGTCCGCTTTCTCTATGCTATCTTTCTAACACGACTTCTTCTGTCTTTCACTCTAACATATCTTCGTTCTTCCTAAACTCACTTTACTCTTGGTCCGTAGAGCGGGTTATGACGCTCCTTGGGGAGCCGAACCTGTCTTTGCGGTACCTTGGTAATGTGGCCTCTCTATGGCAACTAGCCGGAGGAGGATAAACCACAATACCAAACCAATAGAATAATTTAATCTTAAACCAATGTAATTACTTAACATTAAACCAATAGAACTATTAGAAACATCTACACCCAGGGCCGCCGAGAGCCGTCACGCCGCCTGGGACAGCAACCCTAATTGGCGCCCTTATTTACCAAAATTTCTCTATATGATAGATAAAGGATAAATAAAAAGCATAACTTAAGAAAAGGTGTTGTCTTATTGATTTTTTTATAAAAGGTAATATTTACCAAAAATAATAGAAATAAATTATTTTCATATTTCGAATATGCTATATTTGTCATGAAGGTTATAATATCTTGAAATTATATCAATAAAATCCATGTCTAAAAAAATATATTAATTAATTTGAATAAATATAATTTTTGAAATCGAGATATAATCAAAATGCAAAAGGGTTTTCAGAAAATGAAACCAAAATATTTGTTGCTTATACATTCTTTTTTTTTTTCCAGCACAAAATTTTTTAATAAACTTTAATAAAACTGAACATCTAAGCAAGTAATTACATCTGTGATTTCCTTACGGAAATATTCCACGGAAAACCCATGGAATTCCATGAGTAAACCATGGTTTTCCCATGGAAAAACGGAAATTCCAGGAATTTCCAAGGGTGAATTTCATGAAAATTGAAATCCCATGGAATTTCCATGGGTGAACCATGGTTTTTTTTTCAGAGCTTATGCTGGGCCATACGAATACGAATACGAATACGAATACGAATACGAATACGAATACGAATACGAATACGAATACGAAGCGCATACGAATGCGCTTTTAAAGATGGCGTCATAGCTCGTAGAGTTACGATTACTTTTAACTCGGGTAAACAATACTTACTGCATTCTTCTGTTTTTCTGTGTTTTATAAGACTATGAATGATTCAAACTAAACATACAGACATAAACAACTAGATATATTTATCATATTATAATGCATTATAAAATATAACTTACAATAGTATAGCAAGTATGTCAAGTAAACCAGTTGAATTTTAATGCTTACTTGGCAAATTATTTGCCAAATAATTATTATTTGGTTTACAACAAATAAATGTTTAGTTTTAATCTACATTAAATAACTAGTGTATTAATGTACATAGTCACTATGATAGTGTAATCTAATGTACATTAAAACTAATATAATAATTATTATAAAACTTATTTAACATATTAAACAAACTTATTTAAAATATTAATATATAAGCAGTATATCAGATAAGATTAGATAACTAAGATAATAAGATTAGATAACTAATGTACAAAAGATAACTAGTATGATCTTTTTAATTTTTTTTATAATAGCCTTAGATTACATAAAAATGTTTATGTAAGTTTATTGTATGGTAAATGTTCATTAAGTATTAAAAAACATTTTTTTATGATAAATGTTCTATTCAAATTTAGTTCTGTAAAGTTGTTTTTGTCTTTTTGTTGTTGTTTTTTCTTTAGAATTACTAGAATATGTAAATAATGTAAAATAAATATTGTTTATAAATTCTTTTATATTTACTTTTTTATTTTATTTAAATTACTACATTATAAGCTGACAGGTTTGACTGGCAATATAAATAATGTTTTTATTTTATTATAATTTATAATTGTTCATCATTTATATCATTTATAACATCGTCAGTTTTTATATGCATTTAATATTTTTAAAAATAGTTCAAAAGCTGTCAAAATAAAATGGTGAATTGAGTTTAAATTAACCAGAAAAGATATAAACGTAATCTTTGGGATTCAACTTGTTAGGATGTTCAAAGAACTACTTATTTGGAGAAGGAAAACTGTGGTAATGTTTTAAAAATATCAGAAAGGGAAGTTAATTAATGCACAAGATTTTACTTCATAGTTAAATATAAGCATATAAAAGCAATGTTTATAAATAATACGCTAGTATTTATTATAATACAATTATTTTTATTTGTTTATATTTAACTAATGTAAAGTGCTCGTTTTTAGTTAAAATAAATTAATTTATGCACACACTTTGATATTTATTATGCTTTTACATTACTATACTTTATAAATTACATATTTGTAATGTTTTAAATAGTAAAGTAAAAATATAATAAATTTTTGAATTTAATGGTGTGTGCGTAAGTTCTTTTATTTTAACTTTATCGTTTTATTTAAATTACTGCATTATAAGCAGGTAAGTTTGACTGACAATATAAATAATGTTGTACATCATGCAGACAGCTCAGACAAAAAAGTAATTTTTTACTTAAAATTACAATTTATAAGTTATACTATATTTGTTGCTGCCTTATTCTATATAAATGTTACTAACATGCAGGTAAAATTTATATATGTGTATAAATCTTTTCATTTTAACCTTATCATTTCATTTAAATTACTACAATATTAGCAGGCAGGTTTGACTGGCAATATAAATTTTTAATTTATTTATTTAGTTGTTCATTAACAAGTCCCGTGCTTTATAATATATTAAAAGATGGTAAGGACGTGAAGAAAACAGGTTTGTAAATGATGTTGTACATCATGCAGATAGCTCAGAAGAAGAAGTAAGTTTTTTTAATTACAAAAGTAAATATATAATATAATATTTATTGCTGCCTTGTTCTATATAAATGTTTCTCACATGCAGGTAACATTTATATATGTATTAGTTTGAATATATCATTTTAATTAAGTTACATTATAGGCAGGAATGTTTGACTGGAAATATAAATGATGTTGTACATAATGCAGATAGCTTAGGCGAAAAAGAGGTAACAATCTAATAATTTTTATTTATAAATAATGATATATTCATTGCTACTTTTTTCTATATAAATGTTACCTAACATTTGGCAACATTCATAATTGTGTATAATCCCTAATTATAAAGTAAGATATTATAGATAATAATTATAAGTAAAATGAATTAGTAAATAAAGAAAACTAGTTAGAATGTATATAATAGTTGTATGATGTATTGTCTAGATTGGTGAAATGGAGAATGAGACTAACTACGGTGAAAAAAATAATGAATATCAAAATGTGAATGGTACTTTGTTCAACATCTACCTGTTTCTACAGATACAGTACAGACGCATTTATAAATGAGCTTGATGTTTTTTTGGATTGAATATGTTGTATTGATGGTTCTTTTTAACTTGTTCAAACTTATTAAATTTTTTAAAATTTTAAAAACTTATTAAAAGTTATTATCAAATTTATATATAATATTTTTATCAAATAGTTAATATAAAATAATAAACATGTAAATTGTTTTATTTTCTGTAAAAATTGTTTTCTTGATATATTTCAATTGTTTATCACTATGTATATATTATAATATTATATTACTTGTAATTTTTTGTTTTATTTATTTTCAGTATGTTATACATTTGCATGCATTAAATATTGTGGAGAAGTAAAGTTTTGCTGTTTTAGGTGCATTATAGCTATTATTTTTTAAAGATTTGTAGGATTTAACAAGATTTAAATTTTATTTTGTTTATTGATTTTATTCGGAGAAAGCGATCCCATAGATTAAGAGAACTCAATAATATTAGTGTGATAAAATTTACTTTTATGATTTAATATGAGAATTCAAATAACATTAGATAAAAAAAACTTGAAAAAAATCATGCTTTTTTACCATGAAAAATCCATGAGTTTTCCTTGGAAAGGTGTTCCTAATACCTATGAAAATTCCATGGTTTTTCCATGGATGGAAAATCATTGAATATCCATGGTATTCGGAACACTTTTCCATGACAAACTCATGGATTTTTCATGGGAAACTCAATGGTTTCCCATAAAAACTCATGGGTTTTCCATGGGAAACTCATGGATTTCCCATAGAAAAACTCATGGGTTTTCATTGAAAACTCGTGGGTTTCCCATAGGAAACTCATGAATTTCCCATGGAAAACTCACGAGTTTTCATTGAAAACTCATGTGTTTCCCATTGGAAACTCATGGATTTCCCATGGAAAACTCATGGGTTTCCCATGAAAACGTGTTCCAAATAACCATGGTTTTTCCATGGTTTTTTTTCATGGGTTTTTTCATGGAAATTTTCCGTAAGGTTACCTATTTTGAAATTCACCAAACTTACTTGTATCATGGCTTTACTAAGATAACCTTAAGCCAAACATCAAGGTTTATAATAATCTGATACCTTGTATCAGATTATTATAACCTGATACAATGTTTATCTGATACCTTGTATCAGATGTTTATCAACTTTGAAAAACAAACTACAAGATAGTTTCGTTTTGGAACACGAAAAATATAAATGGATATTATTGAATATAATTGAGAGAAACACAGTTTTTTAAGATATACACCAACATATGTATAAAAAATTATTAATAAAAAAACTTTTAAATCTGTAATAGAAAGTTCTGTTAACACTTCAGTTCAATATACTAATATAATGTAATGAACTGAACTTTTAACTCAATAATAAAAATGTTTATCATTTTAATAATAACTTAATAAGTTAATAAAGTACATCGAAGTAAAATATTTATCCTTCATAAAAATATTTAATGAAGCTACAATACAAGTTCACAAAAAAAAAATGCAGAATAAAATCAAGATCTTTTGCATACAATTTTAAAATTTAATAAAAGCATAACTTTGAAATAGATGAATACAAAATAAAACAGAAAAACAAAACAAAAATATAAAAGTAAAAATATTAATTAAATATAAAAATATTAATATATATTTTATGAAGATCTAATATATTAAAAAAATTAAACTTCGAACTTTTCAAAAATTTTCAAGCATTTTTTTTCTCCCATTAAGCCTGCTTATCTCAGCCAAATAAAATGAAAAGTAATATTTAGTGTGTTTAAATAATAAAACGATAAAGTGGAATAAACGTAAACTTCCTTTATAAAATGATCTGATTGCATTTCTCGGTTAAACATAATCAGCGCTGATGTGTAGCCAATTACACGTTGTATGTTAAGATATTTGTAAACATTTTTTCATTCTATTTTCTATATATACTATTTATACCTTTGTATTATTTTTACAAAACATATTTTATTAACTATAAAATCTTTAAAATTTTTTTTAAATGTCAAGTGACAAATAATTTTATAACATTTACATTACAACATACAGTTTTTATTAAAAAATAGTTTGTTTTTTTTAAATTAGATTTAAAAAAAATATTTCTTTATTATTAAAAATGGCTGCCAATTTTCTGAAAATTAGTCAAAAAGTCACATTGAAACATCAGAGATAAACTTATACTTATCTTTTATTGCTTTATTAAAAAAAACTCCAGAAATGCTCTTTAGTGTGTTAAGTTCTTATTTAGTTTTTAAAGGTAATTTAATCTTTTAGGTTTAAAGACTTTTAAAATCAATAATGCCAACTTTTAAAAGAAAAAATACGATATTTCAAGATATATATATCTTTCAAAATCTCTAGCTAAAAAGAAAGATAATAATGCAAGTATCAATTTCAAATGTAAAACTATGCGTATAATAAAGGTTACAGAGTCGTTTATCAACCATCTTTTGTAAAATTTTTTATTATGATTTTAAATAATGCGAAGAATGTGTAAAAATAAATATATTCCTCCATGAACCAAAAAGTATAACTTATATTTTAACATATTAAAACATTCAACTTTTGACCAATTAAGCCATGAAACTTGGTTACTTAACTGTATATTTTAGTGGACCAAACGTAAAAGTATTTCAGTCTAAATGACATTTAGTTTTAATAGTCGCGCGAAGAATTCGCGTTGAAAGATTTTTGGCCAAAAATTAACGCATTTTCATTCTCTGTATTGAAAATATCTTAGAATATTTCAAATTTATCTTGTGATGAAATTATGTTTTCATATCATGTTTTATATTCAAATTTTATTTTATACTTGAGTACAATTTATATTCATTCATTTAAGAACGATTTATTGTTTTTATGTTATTTTTACGTACTTTTTTTGTAAAAAGACGTTTTTACATTATTTTACGTACTCTCTTTTGTAAAAGGTTTCTGACGATAAGATCATTGTGATCTTATATAAGCCTTGTTTATATTTGTAAAATATGTAATTTATATATATTACACCAAATGTAAAATAAAATTATATGAAATTTTTTTTTTAAAACAAAGTTTTAAAAATAAACAAAAAAGTGAAAAATTTCACGGGACTTAAGGACTTTGTGTCAATGACTGAAAATGTTAAGTAACTTAATACAACTCATTCCTATTAGCCCCTAACAATTTCAGTTTATTGACTTTGATGAATATTTCAGGTTGCGTACGTACACAAAACCCTTGGGTCCCGAGAAATAGTTTATTTTTTACTTTTTTGTCCATTTTTAAAAAGTTTTTTTTTTTAATATTTTTTATTATTTACTTTTTAGTCTGCTAAAAAAGTTCAAGGACAAGATGCCTCTTCTTTCTTCTGTTGCAATAGCTAATGCTTGTATAGTATTTTTTTGTTTAGCAACGTGTCTGCCATTATCTTTTTTCAGCCGCCCTAGCCTTTACACATCGTTCTCTTCCTTTTTTTAGGCGAGATGCTCGTTGCTCAGCTGATTTATTAGACCGGGTTTAATTAAAAAAAAGCAATTGCTTTTACTTAGTAAATGGTCAGTTTTACGTGAGTAAAAACTTTAACAATCTTCCTTAAATTTTTACTTACGTAAAGCTGAACAATTACTGAGTAAATTCCTTAACTTTACGCGAACAAATATTTGAGCAAAAACCCCATAAGTTTTTATTCGCGTAAAGCTGACCAATTACTGAGTAACAGCAATTGCTCATTTTTATTCACCCGGTTTATTTGTTCTAGCTCAATTTCTCTTTCTTGAGCAAGACAAGCCAATTTAATAACTTTAGTTTCCAGCTTTCTTTTTTATATTTTGGTTAATTCTTTTTATTTATACGTTAATAAGATGTTGTTTTTTTTACTTGTTTACTTAAAAAACTTAATTTTTAATTACTATTTATAAGTGAAGTTTTAAAGCATTTATTATTTTTTTACAAAAGGAAAAAAAAAAAAAAAAACCGACAAAAAGGCAAGTTAAATAAAATGTTGTAAAAAAAAAACGAAAAAAAGAAAAACAACTCAGTTTAAGGTACCGGATTAGATATTTTGAGTTTCGGCCGGAACCGGATTTGCTATTTAAAATTCCGGCCGAAACGAGAATTATATTTAAGTAACTTTTTACCTTCAAATTTGCCACAGTATCATGGCTACATAATATATATTTATAACCTATATATTATATATATATATATATATATATATATATATACATACACACACATACATACATATATATAAAATCTACTTTAATCATTTGATTCTTGTTTCATTTAAATCTAATATGTTGCTTTTGTTTGTTTCTTATAATTTTATTTATTGAAAGTTTTAACCAGCATAATATTTATATTCAAAATTATTTCTTTGTTTCTTATTTTTACATTGGGTTAAAATTAAAATATTCACAGTATTAGGCATCCTACACCTTTTAATTATTTAAAGTTTAAGTAACATTTAAAATGAGACTATTCTCAGAGGCAGGTAAAATTTTTGATCAAAAAAGAGCTTGTTTGTTGCTACTGGATAGTAACTCTTTTTGCAACACAATATTCTTTAACTTCTAGAAATCCTTACATAATTGATTACCGCGAATAAAATTACACTGAGTTTGTTAAGAATTTTGTATTTTTTACCTAGTTTCATCTATAACTCTTTATTGCCTTGTAGAACAATGATTTTTTAACTTAACTTACACAGTCTGTCACATGTCTTAAAAAAATAAAGTAGCATTTTAGCTAATTTTAGCATTCCGGCCTGAAATATCGTAATTCCGGCCGGAACCGGATTGACTTAAAAGTTACCTGGCTGAACGGAATTCCAATACGTCCTTTATTTGAGAGGGTTACAAATTTAATAAGGCCATTATTTTTGAAAACGCCAACAGATTTTTTAATGAACTTTAATATTTATCGATGAATATAAATTTAGTTAAGAATATTGTGAAAAAAATATTTTATCAACTTGCTGCTCTCACGTTCGGGCCAGGTGTCGCTAAAATTTCAGGGCGTTTTGTTCCTAGAGTCTAACCATCGCAATTTTTTGCAAAGCTTTTTCATTAGATTTAAGTATAAACGTATAAATGTTAGGAATTTGTCTGGAAGTTAGCTATCTCAAATATTAAAAAATGTTACATCCATCCTAGGTAACTGTTTTTTATTTATAGCTGCATCAGTAATTGATATTTTCATTGGCTGATAATTAATATTTTCATTGTTCTATTAAACACGTGATATTAAATCAATATTGGATTTGCATCTGAAAAAACAGCCGACGTTCCTTATTGTTTTACATTGGATTGCCTTATGTATGCGGGCTAGATGAGATATTTTTGCATTAATGGTTGTTTGTTATAAAAAATATTAAAATTATCTTGCGCATTTTTTTACTCTAGGTGCCCCTAAGAAGTCCTTACGGTCTTATCAAAGAGCACCGCGGGAAGAGCATTTGCCCAGAGGTTGAACCACGGATCTCTAGCTTCTGAGGCAAGCGCGCTAACCACTGCGCTACGGTTGCTCAGTTAAAAAATTGTCCCTTTTTTAATTGCAAAACAGCTATAAATAATATTTACGACAACAAAAGAAATTTTCGTTTTCCGCAACCTCTGCTTCGCAAGCGTTATGACGAGTTGGTGAAGTTTAAGTTCATACTTTCGACACGATATATGACTTTTTTCTTTATTTCTTTAAATAAATTGGTATTATTTAAAAAACCTTAAAATCTCATTTGATAGTTCTTCTCTTTTAACCTCATATTGTTCTCTTGTAATCATGTTCTTAAGCGTCACAAACCCTTTAGATAGTTCCTGGTCTCCCAGCACAGCACAAAAAGGTATATTATTTTCTTCACAATACTGAAACTGATTAAGAAGTTTAGGGTTTCTTTTGTACAACATCTCAGCCTATGAAATTAATGAAATAAATTAATTTATGAATTTCAATTTATTAAAAATAAATTTTTTACTTCGGATAACTTTTAGAGAGAATAATACTGTTTCGTTTGCTAACATGCGCTGATATATTTTAATTCACATTAAAATATATTTTTTTAAATGTGTATTCATACATTCTATTTAACTATAAAATTAAAAAAAAAGTTATTCCCATATTGTTTAGTGAGCAGTTTTACTATTAATACATTCTAATTATGTTACCAATAAAAATACCTCTATATCCTGACTCCATAATTCGGCTAGCAGTTTCATACGTTCTTCTAACATGTTTTTTTGACCACTGACAACTAGCACTTTGGTTTTAGTCGTTCGAGTAGGATCAGCAGCTGCCTATCACAAAAATTTTTAAATTTTAATTCATGTAATACCCAACTGTAATAAATTATTTGTAAGTTCAACGTACGCCAACCAATGATATATTAAATAACTAGATGTCGAACTTCATTATTAAAAGTGAAGCCGCTTTTTGCCCTTTTTACAAATGGCGGATTAAATTTGTAAACAAATATTTTTAACTTTTCTTTTTTTAAATGAAGTAAATATATTTAAATTTAAATACTATTAACGTAAAAGTGTTAAAAATTATAATACTTGTAAAACAATAATTTATGACTTCTTAATTCATTTTCGATTAAAAAGGGATTAAAGTTTTGAATAGAAAAGTAAAACGTCTTACTATTTTGAAGCATTTTTATGAATTAAAATACTTTTTAATAAACAGTAAGACATCGAGCTAGTGAACTTGTAAGACATCGAGCTATATAATATATCATTGACGCCAACAGATGTCGGGCAGACTCAGCTAATAATAACGATTTCTGTCACACGTCATGAAAGACAAAATTTTATACGATTTAAAGATACTATCGGTACTTTAATTGCTTCTAATTAAGGGGCGCCGGTTTAAGCGAAACCAACAGCCCACGGTTCAAAAGATTATACACTCGAAATCTCTTGATGGCGATTCCGCACGAAGTTCCTCTACAGAAACAAACGCGTGCCACTGACGGCAAGTGCCCTTTTCAAAGTAAATTAAATATCCAAAATCAACCTTAATTTTGAGCGATTATATTACTTGTGGGTAACTAAATAAAAAAAGAATTTAATCAACAGAATAAAATAGGAGGGGGGGGGGACTTTTGTCAATTATAATAGGGTACTTTTATAAAAAATATGGAATAAATCTCTTAAAAACGACATGTAAAATTTTTATATACTTTTTAATAATTTTAAATTAAATCCTAAATGTAATATTTTGATTTATATGATATTGTAAATTTATGTAAAAAAAACTTAATAATTCAATAGTTTTAATTATAATTTTTATTTAACTCAATAATTGTTATTTGTTATATATTACTATAGTAGACTATAGTAATATAACATTAAATTATATTAAACAAATAAAATTACTTCAATAGTTAAATATTCATATAGGATGTTATTATTATTTTTTAGCGGATATTATTTGCTTATTATTATTTTTTTGCGGATGTGTGGTCGTTAAGGTACTCCAAAGAAGTCCCTACGAACTAATAACAGCGTACTGCGGAAGACCTTTTAATAAGGAAGTTCGAGCCTCTTGCCTCAACCAATACCGCTTAGCTGGCCAGAGTCGGCGTAACATAAATATTAAAATATAACATAAAACTATATAAGCATAGATCATCTAGGTCATATTTTAAAAATCCGGAAAATCAGTAGGGTAAAATATTCGGAAAATATCCGGAATATATTTTCCCTAATATTCCTCTTAATTTTGATTTTAGCTAAGCTAAATTTAATTTTTGTATGAGTAATGAGTGCAATATATTCCTAAACTTGTATGTAATAGAAAACATTTTTGATATCCGGAAAAACTAAAAGTTGAGAAAATATCCGGAATTCCGGAAATATCCGGAAAAAGATAATCCCTGTATAAGCCATAAAAAATATATATATATATATATATATATATATATATATATATATATATATATATATATATATATATATATTATATTATTATTCACAACAGGCTGGGTGAATAAAAAAAGCAATTGCTTTAGCTCAGCGTTTTTGGAGCTTTACGTAAATAAAAATTTGAGCAAAATCGCTCAAGTTTCTTTTCACGTAAAGCACAGTGGGACAGGTGGTGGACTAAAGTAAAAAAAAAATACATCAAAAATTACATTATTATATACCATTTTATAGCTTAAACATTCAACTTATCTAAAATGTACATATTTTTGTATAATTATCATGACGAATGCGTAAGCTGTAGAATAAAAAGCTCTTTTTCTTAAAAAAAAATTTTTCAAAAATTTTTTTTTAATTTATAGTATTTCTTATAAGCTATAATAAGCATGTTAACTTTAAAACCTTTTTATTGCATAATTTAATAAAACCAATTATTATCTTTCAAATGAGCTATTACAACACTATTTTGCATGTAAGTTATGTCAAATAAAATGTTTTCAAATAACGGGGTATTTGAAGTACTTTTTTCAGTTAAAATTTTACTTATATAGTCGAATACTTTTGCGGTCCAAAGCGGCCCAGTAATTCGAAACTTAAAATACATTGTTCAATATGTATATTATCAATATAAATTTGTTTTATAATCCACGGATGTCTACCTGGTCTCTATTAATGACTTTTGCATATAACCGGTGAAAAAAAGATATCTCATTGACGCAAGACGTTTTTAAAACGCGTCTTTTACCCATAAGTAGCGACTAGCTAGTTGCTAGCTCATTTCGCACTCGGAAAATAATGTATCCAATTTTATGTGGCGAAAAGATTATATTTATTTTATTCTAAATGGTTATGTAATAATTGGGTCTCAGCAAGACTAGATTAATGTTACAAACCTGATTAATTATACACTCTAAAATATTTGTAAAATTTTGTAAATTTTTTTTATAGTTAAAACATGAAAAGTATTGATATTTATTCATATATAATACAAGAAAACCTGAAGTTAGCTAATCCTAATATTTTATATACACAAAAAGGTAAAACTCAGGTTTTCTTTTTATATGAATTATGTAGTAGTATTAGTAGTTTCATGAAATATAAAATAGAGCCTTGAAACTGCATAAAAATACTTAAAATTAGTAATTGAGAATGTGTTGAATTTTTAAATGCATAAAATAATTTTTAATCAGACTGCAGCATTAATATTGTTCTAGTTATAATATTGATGCTTGGAGAAAAGTTACTTAAGCTAGTAACTATGCGAAATGAAGCGTCAGGCATTTTAGATGTCACTGTCAACCAAATAAAAAATCCAGACCACTACAATTGTAGTATCAAAATACTCAATGTTGTAATTATAGGAGATATCCAATAAAGTTATTAGTTTTTCTACTTAATATTTGGTAAGGTAATAAAATATGTAGTTGCTAAGCAATTTAGGTATCCGCAGCAACCCTAAGTTAAAATAATGTCACCATTAAAACCGCAATCCTCAAATTAGTAAACAGTGCAAAATTGGTTCTTAAATCTTTTTTATATGAAGAGTTATTAGTTTTGTCCAGTAAAAGTGATTCCTGACCGTTGAAAAATTACTCCAAAAATGTTGAGTAATTGTCTAGCTTTAGGTGAATAAAAATTTGAGCAAAATTGCTCAAATTTTTATTTACGTAAAGCAATTACTCCAAAAACGCTGAATAAACGCAATTGCTTTTTGTTATTCACCCGGCCTAATTATTAATTAATAAAATTAAGAAATAAATAGAACTTTATAAATATTTATATAAACAATTGATTTAATTTAAAACTTGCAATTGGTAATTAAATAACTAATTAAAAAAAATAATAACAATAAAATATATAAAAATGCCAGTTTTGTAAAAAAATTTAATTTATATATAAAAAGTTATTTCCACTACAATACCTGGGCTTTAGCTTCCATTATAGCAAATATCCTTTCAACACCAATACTAACACCAACACATGGAACCTAAATAAAAAATCATGGATCCTAAACAAAAAGCCATTTAAGCAACTCTTCATTTCTCATACAAAAAGAACTACTCAAAAGACTGTTTCCATAATTAAAGCGTTTATTTCCCTCACAACCACTAAATACCGCGTAACCTAAAAAGCTGAACAACAAATAATTTTTACACGCTTTTATCGCACCATTTTGAATATGTTGAATATTTTTATTTTATTTTTTTTATTAAAGTTACGTATAGCATATACTAACCTTTTTTCCTTTAGAATCAAACATACCAACAAGTTCATCATAGCGACCTCCACCAGCAATCGAACCCATGGCAGTTTCTAAATAAAATTGTAAAAACTTACATTACAGGTAAGAGAAAAATAAAATAACATTTTTTATCCATTACCAATAGTTAAAACTGATTTGGATTAATAAAGACTCGCAAAAGTGGTTGATTGATTATCAAATAATATAACAAATTTATTAAGTATATAATATTATAAATATTAATACAATTATTTGGAAGTTGTTGATTACACAAATAACGCACAAAAGTTTTTTTTTAGTCATACCTTTTATTTTCATATTTTATACATTACAACCATTTTTAAAGTCATTAGGCTGGGTGAATAAAATATATATCTTAGACACTATGACCAAAGAATATGGTCTTAATACTACTGGTCTATAAAGAGATGATTGTCTTCGCTACTTCTATCGGTTGTCCTCAATCGGAAAAAATAAAGAAAAATTTAATAAATATTTTTAAAGACAATTTTAATCTTAACATCACTATCAAACTAAACTTAAAAACCGTTAATTTTCTTGATTTCACATTTAACCTTAAATTTAAATTTAACTTTAAAGGCCACAAATTTCACAAACTTTTTAACCGGAACAACTTGTAATGGCTTCTTTATGATTTTTAAATTTTATATTGTAACGGTTTTAAATTGTATTTTATGTCTGATAATAGTCTATAAAAATTAGACCAAAATATCACAAAAAAAAAAAATTAGTTAGTACGATGTTGTTTTGATGTTTTACAACATACCAAAATTAAAAAAATTTCAAAAACTGAACTTAATAATCACATTGGCTTCTGAATGGCTCATTTATCATTATTTGTTAAATAATTAATGTCTAATGTTAATTCATGAATAACTTAAAAAATAAAACCATAAGAGATGTTGCTTAATCATAAGTTTCTTACTTATTTACATAAGAGATGTTGCTTACTTATATTAATAATTTGTATCAAAACAATTTTTCTTGTGTTATGTGCATAGCTAAAAAAGGTGAGAGCAAGTAATACATTTAACATAAAAAAGGTGAGAGCAAGTAATATATTTAACATAAAAAGAGAAGTATATTAATTTATTGAATTTTATTGAATAATATTTTTAAATATTTTATAAAAAATAACAAAAAACAAAACAAAAAAAAACAAACATAATATTACAGAACAGTAATAATTGATGAACTTAACTGCAATTATTTTAAGAAAACTTAAAATTTAATTTTTTGACTTTTTATTAAAAATGAATAATTGAAATTATGCATAGGTTAGGGATTATTTTAAAAGAAATAAAAATGAAGCTTTTTGTGCCCACACAAAGTGCAAAAAACACACATGTTAAATCATTTAAAGTTGAATCAAAAGATCTGATAAATGCTCCAAAGATGGCAGTTCCAGTCAATCAACAAATTGAAAAAAAAAATTAATTTAACAATTCAATTATTCAAAATTTTATGGAGGTAACATCAAAATTTGGTGGTAACATCTTAATGAAATTGATGCAAGATTAGTTTCTGAGGATAGTTACACAGTAATTGGATAGTTTCTGAGGATAGTTTCACAGTGATTGAATAGTTTCTGAGAAAATTTCATAGTGATTGGATAGTTTCTGAGAATAGTTTCACAGTGATTGGATAGTTTCTGAGGATAGTTTCACAGTGATTGGAATAACAAAAAGTTCTTTTATAAGCTAATTTAATTTTGATAATGAATACAACCCAAAAATTTGTCAAAAGTAATGAATTAGGTAACTTTTTATTTGAAAGAACAAAAAACATTAACAATTTAAATTATGAATAAAAAACTAAACAGTGGTGACAGATTAAACTCTTTATGAGTGGACAAGTCAAGCAAGCAAAGGATGTTTCAATGTTAATATCTATTGTAATGGATCAGTTTTTTTTTTTTAAATCTTAGGCTAGTTCGAACAATAAGAAGTTGTGATTCTTTAAAGACTTAAAAAATTGTCAATAAACATTTAAAGAATTAAAAATCATATTTAAAAAATATTGTTACATCAACAACTGACAGTGCAAGTGTTATATGTAAGTGAGGTGAAAATCCTGCTCACTTCATGCATGCATAAATCAAGGCTTGCTATGATGGATATTTTCTACAAGGAAAGTGAGAAACTAAATTTCATAAAAAAATGTGATGATAAAATTAGTTGAGAAAATTCAGAATCAGAATCAGAAAATAACTTAAAGTTGAAAATGATGAGCTGTTTCTTAAAAATTATAAACAAAACCACTGAATTATTCTTTAAAAGATTACTAACAGAAATAATAAAAAGTTGTGGATTTTTTTAAACACCCACAAAAAATAGCATTTTACAGTAATATGTGAAACAAGTAAAATTAGTCTATGGAAATTAATGAATATTTATATATACAGCCAGAATATAAATCTGATCCCGAACCTAGACCTCAAATATCCAAAAAACACAAATAGTGTTTAACTCTCAAAACATACAGTGTAACAATATAGTTTGTTTAAGCAAAAATTTGTTCAAATAAATTTTTTTGTAAGCTATTTAAAAATATATATACACTAGTGCTCAAAAAATTAGCATGCAGCAAAATTAAATTTACTTTTTTTCATAAGAACTTTAAAAAAAAATAAAATTTACTTGGTATTTCAAACTCAACTTTATTTTTTAGAATATTTAGAACATATTAGGAGAAAAAAAAAGAAAAAGAAAAACAATGATAAAAATATATTAAAAAATAAAGGAAAAAATTAATCATATATAAAATAAGAAAAAAAAGCTCATAAGTAAGGCTTAGTTTTGAAGTTGGTTTTGAAGTTGGTTTTAGGCCAAACTTTAATAAAGAATGTGACCACCTCTATTTTTTATGCATATGAACATTTTTTTCTTATAGAATCAAAAAGTTTACAACAATGGCAAGCCTCAACTCAAACAACCGGTAAACAACTATCAAATTTTTTCTTAGACTTTTAGCTGAAGTTACTGGTTCTTCGCTAAGTTTTCTATATAACACAGTCCAAACATTCAGATTGGGTGATCTAGCTTGCAACTGAAGTACCTTGATACTGTTTTGCTCAAACCATTCTGTTACATATTTGATTTATGGCATGAAGCGTTGCCTTGTTAAAACATTCACTCTTGATCGTTACCAAAAAAAAAACTAATTCCATTGGTTCAAAAAATATGCTGACTAAGCAAAATTAAGTATTTTGCTCAAATGTTTTAGAAATTGTGTTATCCATGATTTGTTACGTTTTGAGATTTCTGGGATAAATTATTTGAAGAATGTATTATCAATACTATAGCTCATTCTCAAGCTATAGTATTGATAAATATAGAATTGATAAGCCACAAAATTAAAAGATTATAAAAAGCCTGTAAACTACAAAATCTGTAAACCTTATAAACTATTATTTGTTTACAAAAATAAATGTTATATATTATTTAAATTGTCAAAATTTTAATAGTTTATTATAACTTATTGATTTTATTAGTATATTCTTATTTTTTTATTCGAAAAGTATGTATTTTTTATGTAAATGTAATTTTGTGTATCTGTTTTTTATCGTAATGTAATATTTTAAAGCAATTTTTATGATTTAATTTGTAAACAAAGACTTACGAAAATCATTGCGTTTTTAATAAAGTTATTAATAATCATTAAAGTTAATAAAACTAATTATGTAACAAACATATAAGAAGTTTCTGGTTACTAAGCATAAAACAAATGCATACAAAGTAACTCGTGGATGAACAAGCACCGCGTCTGAGGTCATGACAGAACACAAATATATAAAGCAAGTTATTAGATATAAAGAAAAGTTTCTAGATATTGGTTTACTATAATTATTTTCGCTTAAGTTGCCATACTTAAAAACTCGTTATACTTTTTTCTGCTTTAAATACTGATTAAAATTAAAAAGCCCACTCACTAAACATCATCAGCAATATTGTGAAGCAGCTTCGCTTCCTCGTCATAAAGTATTTTTGACCTTTTTTACTTGATTTCTATCTAGTTAATTTAGTTTCTATAGTAATTCAATGATTTAATTATTTCATTTGTTTATCTTACTTAGAAGAATTGTTTAATTGTTTAAGAAATGTTAAACTTTTTAAACTATCCGAAATATAAAATAGGTATTAAAAAAATTAACTTTTTTATTTATAAAATAATTTAACTTAGATAAAAATAAAACTTGCAAACTTTGTCAAATAAAGAACATTTGTTTCCTTTTTAAACAATCGTAAGATGTTACTTTATATAAAAAATGTTGCTAAATTTTACAGAAAAATTATAAAAGAGCGATGTTTCGAAAATATTTGTTGTAAACGTAATTTATTTTGCTTTAAGTTTTTTTGCGTTATTTTATTTTCCTAATTTTTTTTTTTTTTTTGTAATTGTCTCTCAACGGTCCAATTAATCTTTAGCAAATTTTTTTTGCTTTTTGAAATGTTTTTTAAACGCCTAAAAAATCTGGCCAGCTTTTTGCAACTAAATATTATTATTGTGGTCAGCAATCGAGAGCGATCGCTCCCGCTTCCCAACCAAGCCTGTAAAAACTGTTTTATCATTTTTTAAATAACTGGTTATATAATTACAGCTCATATTAATTCTCTAAGGAAATCTAAAATACAAGAAAACAACAACAACAACAAATATGTTAAAATAACTTATTAAAATTACATTAAAAAACAAACTATTTTACCTTGATCATTGTTAAGTAACTCTGGTGGAAATGATGTTATGACAGCTTCATAGATAACTCCGGTATAATAATCCAGCCCACGTGCAAGACTCATATCAAATGAAACCTAATATCAACGAAACACTTAGCAATATTCTATGTTTAACATAAAATAAACTTTTTTCATTAATGTTGAAACAAGTTCTTTTCCGCAAATATTCAAGCGCTTTAAAAAAATTAATAAAAATGTTTTTAAAATAAATTCAGTTTTTTAATTTTTTTTTTGGTATTTCTAAAAAGATGTCAACTACTTGGTAAAAAGGTTAATAAAACAAACGTTTTGAATAAATTAGAAAAACATTTTACTTACATTTTCTAAAACATTTAACACTTTACAGTAATTAAGCAGTAAAGACATATCATCAATTCCTTGTTTTCCTAATTTATTTTTAGATAATTTTTCGTCATTTTTCAGTTTCTCAACCAGATCAACACCACCTTTAAAAAAAGAAAAATATAACAGCATATATAGGTAGTTAATGGTTGTATATTTTATAAGGTTGAAATTAAAAAGAAAAACTTACAACCGTTAAACCCACCCTTGAGAAAAAGATTTCAATGAAAACATTGATAATTATTTAAAAATTAATTTAAATGTCTAGAAATATCTAGAAGCTTGAGGAAAATTTTATAATATCCTTTAAACAAGCTATATTTAAGTAGTCTTTCTTTAAGTCTTTCTTTAATTTATGCATAGATTTTTTAAAAAAAAAAAAAAAATAATAAAAAAAAAAAATAATTATATTTTCTATAAAATAACAAATGTATTTCTTTTCATTTAAAAAATTTTAAACATTTAATTGTACAAGATTTAAACTGCTATGGTTACTAATGTTGCTATGGCTACTAATGTTTAACTAATGTAATTATAAAATAATTTTAACTGATTAAAATTTTTTACAATTAATCAAAATGATTTTTATAAAATCTGCATGATTACATAAGGTTTGATTTTTTTAAAACTCAGTCAAAGGCTCAACGGTTAGATTTGCGCAATTCTTTGATTTGAGAAATTTCATAGCGGAAAATAAAGGTTCAAACTTCATTGAAATCAATTGAGTTTTATACTAATTTAGTTAAGAAAATCTAACTTCAAGTTAGCTCACATTAAGAATTTTTTTTTGTGAGTTAACTGGAAATCTGGTGCATCCCTACTGAAAATATTTCAGTAAAATAACAACAAAAAAAAAAAACATAAAAAAAAAAACACAAAAAAAAATCAAAATAATGCAAGTTCCACTCAAATTCTGGAAAAAAAACAACAGCAAAACAACTCATAAAAAAGCTTTTACCATTTAGCTGAACATATTCATATATTTTATCGGCAACATCTTCAGATAATCCTTTTTCATCTACCATTTCTTTTTTAACTTCATTCCATGGTGTCTATATATAAACCACTTTTAATGTAAAATTTTTGTAATGAATGCAGCTATGGAAACAAACTTTAAAAATCAATATAAAACTTCTAGACAAAAATAGTTCTTTGTTTTGACCAAATTTTAACAACAGCATTAGTAATGATATCAACAATAAGATAAGCAACACAAACTTTAAATTTCAATTAATTAGGCATATTATCATTATGCAGATTGACTAGTTATTTTATATACCAGTGTTGGCCAGACACAAGAGCTGCATTTAAATACTAATGTGAGCTAAAAAGTTGAAATAAATAATTCACTACGAATGTTTTACATATTTTTTTTAAATTTTCTTAAAATATTTTAAAATTTACATGTTGCAAACTGGTGATGAAACATTGTATTGTTATACAACACCATAATATGCAGTGTAGGTAGTGGTAGAGCATTCATTTCATAAGTGATAGGTTCCAAGTTTGATTTCAACCCCATCCCTGGTAGTACCACACTCAACTTGTTTCTCCGCTTAGCAGCCTTGTTTGTCAAGGCTTGTGTTTTGGGGTTATAGAGTTGAAAGAGGGTTATAACCACAATTAAGTAGCCTCCTTATCTGTAGTGGCCTTCTCAGCCTTGGGAAAGGTGAATTAAAAAAATATATGATTTCATTTCTAGAACGATATAGTTTTATTTCTAGAATCAAAAAATTTTACATTCTGAAGCAAAAACTTAAATATTATAACAGAAAGAACTTTTCTTATAACAGTAATTATTTTGTAAATGTATTTATTTGCATTGTCTTTGTGAATACAATTTACGCATATAAAGTACCTCTACATGTGTAAATTGTATATACTCCTTTAGAGAATTATTTATGCATAATAACTTTTATTAGTATAAAAAGTAGCTTGTAGTTCCTCCTTTTTTTTTAATATTTAATATTCTAATAGATTTCACAATATTTAAATTTCTAATAGATTTCACAATACTTAATTTTCAAATAGATTTCACAATATTTAAATTTCTAATAGATTTCACAATACTTAATTTTCTAATAAATTTCATAATATTTAAATTTCTAATAGATTTCACAATATTTAAATTTCTAGTTTCATTATATAGAAGACATTGTGCCAGCAGATTTTTTTAATAAAAATATAATAATTTATACAACCAACTGTTTGCCAAGACTTGGCAAACAGTTGGTTGTATAAATGTATAAATTGTATAAGACTGTTTGCAGAAAGTTGTTACATGAGGGACAGTGGAAGAGAGAACTTTTTATGAAACATCAGATGACATCTACATATTATGTTGATTTTATATGTTATTCAAATGTTATATTAAATATTATTAAAATGACTATTGAAATAAAAATGACACAATTAAACTTTCAAATAATGCATTTCCTGAAGAAGCTCATAATTAAAAAAAGTAGAGTTAAAAGACTAAATTGAAATAAATTACTTGACCACCAATTTTAACAAAGATTTTCACAAAGAAGATTTCATAATTCTATTTATGATTACAACACCAAGCAGAATAATTAATCGAAAACTATGACTAATATTTACCAGAACCAACCTTTTGGTTCTGGTAATAAAAACTCAATAATTTAATTATGCATCCTAACCACCATAAATATAATTATGTATCCTAACCACCATAAATATACCAAACAAAGAAAAGCTCACTTGCAATTTAAAATAATTCAATTTAAAATAATAAAAGTTTCAGTATTAAACTGATTATTTTAGCGATTCTTGGTGACCATATTGTCTTCTTCAAGTTTTTTCTTTAATCTTTCTTTATATATTTCTCATTTTTATACATTTATTTAAAGTTTCTAATAAATAAATAAATAACTTTTAAAAATTTATTTATTTATTAGAAACTTTAAATAAATGTATAAAAAAACTATTTCAGTGTTTATAATCAAAAAAATAAATAACTTGTTTGGAAAAAAAAATAAATAAATAAATAATAAAAACTATGGGTTTTTTTAATTGAAATAAACTTTGCAATCAAAAAATAAATCTAGATTATATATGGCATTATATATGGCATTTTCAAAAAAAAAATTGAGCATTTATTCTGTTATAATTAACTTTATTCCTAAGGAAAAAGTATATCTTCATAAACACTCAATTAAAATATTTACTTTATCTAACTTGTCAACAGATGAACATATTTTACGAAACATTTTCTCTGGAACTCCGCAAACAGCAAATATACCATCTAAAAGTTTGCGATGATTCACCTAGAGACAAAGCAGAAGCAAATTAAATGAAAAAAGGAAATGTAATTATCATTACATAAATATATTATGTAAATTAAATCATCAATGTTTTACATTTATTTAACTATTAAAAGAGCAATATTTTTAGTCTAATTATTATACATATATACACATATATGTATATACATTGCATGTGATGAAGAAAATCGCCCAGCGCAATGTTTCACGCTCATAAAACAGAAACACTTTATAAACAAGAGCAACTATGTGCGCTCGGTATCAACTAATATAATATATATTAGTGTAAGTATATATATACTTACACAAATATAATATAAATTAATAACTTATATACTGATGTATATTTGTAGAAATACATTTGTTACATCAGTAAAAACCAGGTTACGAAGGCATGAAACTTGTAATAAATTACATTTTTTCTTTTAATGTTTGTGAGCACGCTTCTAAAAGTTTCGTATAACAAACAAAAATAAACAGCAGAATCTTGTTAACCTGGATTTGTATTTTGTCCGACTTAACAAATTAAACAAAAATCTCATGTATCAGACTTTTTGACAATTTCTGACTTATGGAGGTTAGGAAACTTAGTGTTCTGAATTTTTCTGTTGTAGTTCTAATTTTTTGCTTGAACTTTTTTAATAAATAAACTTTAATATAAGCTTAACCAGTTTGAAGATATCAGTTAAAATATTTAGTTTGTTAAATCATATTTGACAAAAAAATATTTGATATTCCAACATTTTGAATTTTATTTGATAATTTTAAATTTTAAATATAATTGTTATTAATTAATAGAATGTGATTGAACCTGTATGAAATCAAAGCTATAAGTGAAGTTTTAGGTTGATAAATTATATTATGTTAGATATTTAATTTTCAAACATTTATGTTTGAAATTTTTATTGATTTTTTATTCAACTTAACCAGGGTACGATTTAGCGGATAATATGATAAAGTTCAACTGGAATTTTAAAAAAAACATGCTGAATTTAGGGTAAAAATATATGAAATCATCCAGACCATGACACCCTTACGTCTCAGAATTTGTTTATTTTTACACCACTTGCAGTCCATATCAAAAAAATAATAACTGCGAAAATTTTAGTTAAAAATACCAATGGGTTCCATAGATATTGTCACTTGAAATAATGCTGACTCAGCATTTTAGTGATTTTCTGAAGCGACTACAAAGCAACTTTGACATATAGTATCTTCATAATGGCTTGGAGAAATTTCCTAAAATTTGGTACTCTAATAGATTTTAACTTGAGGAATCCAAAAATAGCACTCTTAAGACTCGATTATCTCAAGAAATGCCTCATTTATCCAATTTTGTTCAAAATTATTGACTTGTAAATTAGTGATTTTTGGAGGTAAAATAAAGACTGTGGCCCAAAATCCCGAGTAAAAATTTTAATTGTATATCATTATTTCATCTTAGGTCTACTGAAAAAAATTAGATTCATCAATTGTCTCTCTAATACGTGATCAAAATTTGCATTTAAAAATGATGTCTTTTTAGAAAAATTTAATTTTTGTAACAAAAGCAATTAAAATATTTTTTAAAACATTTATTTGAATAAAACATCAAATAGTGTCATTTATTGAATAGTTTAGGACATTTATAGTCATGGGCCAAGGGAGGGACCCTCCACTCCCACGAGAGGCCCCTACGCCCCCTCCCCCAATCTCCCTAGATTTTTTTTTTTTTTTTTGCATAAAATGAATAAATAATGCAAAAACATACAATTTAATTTTAATTTTGAAAAAAAAAAATTTAATTATTTCAAATTGGTGACTTAAAACCTCCTTTTATATAAAAAACAAACATAAGTTTTGTTTTGTTCTTTTTAAAGGTATTTACTTGTTTGTATTTTCTTAAAGAATTACTTTTAATTTTATAGTTTTTATATTATTTTGTTAGGTAATAAAAAAAATAATTAATGTGGAGAAATGTGACATTGGAAAAAGTCTTAACATTCATTGCCACAAAACTGGATTTTCAAGAAAACAAGGTTTTGTTCAATTTAAAGATCTTCCTTGTGAAAAACAAGAAGAAATAATATGGCGAGCAAATTTAAAGGAAAAATATAGTTCAATAAGAATTATATGTTGTTATCATGAGCAATTCTATGGAAAATATTTTGAGAGAAAAATTACAAAGTGTTGCAATCTTTTTGGAACACACAAGGAAAGTAAAAAAATTGCTATAAAAGGTAATCTTACTTTATTTACAACAGAATTGATATGGAAATTAAAAGAAAACAATTTATTATTTATAAAAAGTTTTATAATTTCAGTTATTTTAACAACGTAAAACTAAATTTGTTTTTTAGGTAATATAAAGATTTCCATAGACATGGCAAACTATTTGCAAAAAAATAATGTTTATGTAACCCCAGGTTGGAAATTCTGCAGTAAATGTTACAAAAAAGCAATAGAAACTGATGAAGATTTAAATTCACAGGAGGAATGGGAATCAAAAAGTGAGAAAAAAATTAAATTAGATACCACTATAGAATTGCTTGGAATCTCACCGGTCAAACTAAAAAGTCTTTCAAAACACAGCAAATTGCCTGTAGCAAAACAAAAGTTTGAGAACACTATTGACAGAGTTGCAAAAATGGTCTCATTAGCATATAATATTAAAGAAACTTTTTTAACAACAGAAATAAAAAGCACCATTTTAAACAACAACATTAACAATGACCATGATCTAGACATTTTAATGTATGAAATAAAAAATAAAATTTCAGAGACTGACTCTTATCGCCATAAGGTGCAAATGTTAACACTCGCACCAAAATCATGGACACGTAAAAAGATATCAAGCTACTTTGAAGTGTCTGAGTATCTTGTTCGAACAGCAAGAAAAGTTAAAAATGAGAATGGAATTCTATCATTACCCGGGAAAAAAACTGGAAACCCACTTTCACCAGAAACAGTTAATTTAGTGATTAACTTTTATTAAAGTGATGAATTTTCAAGAATGATGCCAGGAAAAAAAGATTATGTAAGTATTAAGAAAAACCAACATGTTCAAAATAGATTATTGCTACTCAATCTTAATGAATTACATGTTGCATTTAAAAAAGACTACCCTAACGTCAAAGTCAGTTTGTCAAAGTTTTGTACTCTTAAACCTAAATGGTGTATTACAACTAATGCGTCAGGTACCCACAATGTATGTGTTTGCATACATCACCAAAATACAAAATTTCTCATTGATGCCAGTAGGTGGAATAAAAGTTATAAAGATTTCATGGCATTGATTGTTTGCTCTCTTGAAAATGCAGAATGTATGTTGCATCGATGTAACCAATGTCCTGGTATTGAAGCGTTAAAAAGTTTTTTAGTGCAGGAGTTTATGGACCATGACCATGAAGAAGATGTAGTATTTAAGCAATGGCAGAGTACAGATCGTACAACACTACTTTCACAGTCATTGCCACTAGATGAATTTATTGATTTATTATGTGACAGTATTGACAACCTTACCACTCATTCATATATTGCAAAAATACAAAGTAGATACTTAAAAAACTGTAAAGAAAATCTACCAAAACGAATGCTTAATTTTAGGAGATTTTGCTGAAAACTATAAATATGTTGTTCAGGATGAGGTTCAAAGTTATCACTGGAGCAAAAGTCAATGCTCACTTTATACAGTTGTACTTTATTTTATAGAGAACAAACTTCTCAAACATAAATCTTTTTGTTACCTTTCAGAAGATGTTGATCATGACACAGGATTTATTTACAAGACTCAGGAAGATATAACTAGATATATCAAAGAAAATCTACCTGATAAATCAAGTGTGAAATACTTTTCTGATGGTTGTGCAGCACAATTTAAAAATTTTAAAAATTTTATCAATCTTTGTCATCACAGTAAAGACTTTGATTTAAATGCTGAATGAGTATTTTTTACCAGTCATGGTAAATCCCCCTGTGATGGTATTGGTGGGACTGTTAAAAGAGTAGTATGTCAAGAAAGTCTAAAACAAATAACTACAGGGCAGATTTTAGATGTTAAATTAATTTACTCCTTTTGTAAAGCCAAGATAAATGGAATTTATTTTAAGTTATTTTCAAAAGAAGAAATTGATCAAACACGAGCACAATTAGAAAAAAGATATTTAGGTGGAAGAACAGTTCCTGGCACAAGGATGTATCATCATTTTATTCCAATTGCTCCAAACACTATAAGTTATAAAAAAATAAGCATTGATGCATGCACTGAAATATTTGATATCATTCCAAAAAGCAAACATTATGTAGATATTTCATTAAATATTAAAAAAATGGATTATATAGCATGTTTTTATGATGGATTTTGGTGGGTAGGGATTGCTGAAGATGTAAGTGAGCTTGATATAAAAGTCAGATTCATGCATCCACATGGACCAGGTAAGAACTTCTTTTGGCCAATAAGAACTGATGAGTGTTGGGTGCTCAATTCTGAAGTTATATGCCTAATTTCTACACCCACAACAATATCAGGTCGTACATACAACATGACTGATTTAGATTTGGAGAATACAAACTGTTGGTTACAAAAAAAAATTATATACGCTTAAAATAATTTTGTTTTTATTTTATTTACCTAATTTGCATTTTAAATGTCTTTTATTTTTTTCAAATCCTTGGATTGTAGGCTGAGAAGGAGGGGTGGGGGTTTAAATAAATCACAAATCACTCCCATCTTATTATGTCAATGACTATATTAGTCTAAAACTACATAAAGATATTTATTGTCAATATGTTTTAAAAACATTTTAAAACATTTGTTTTGGAAATTTATGACTTAAAATCGTAAAAAGATCTTTGAAATAAGAGGTAAGTATTTATCGATTTGAAGTAACGTGAATAAATCGTTTCTCAAACTTAAACTGAAAAAATATGTCTTTAAAATGTATTTTAACAATCAAATATTATTTATTCATTTTATGTAAAAAAAAAAAAAAAAATCTAGGGAGATTTGGGGAGGGGGCGGAGGG